AAAGCCAACGAAGACAACACTAAATAAGAAGAATCCGGGAAAAACTCGCTTTCTCTATAACCAACAATTTAAAACCAAAAAGGGTTTCTATAACATAGCTGAACCATCGCAAGAAATTCTTCTCGTATCCCACATAAAAACATAGAACACGCAGAAGGTCTAAAATTGTAAAAATACCCTGCCAACTCCCCAAGGCCCTTTTAAAAACCCCCCCCGGTAGATCATCAAGCAGCTTCTCCCCTGACCTAACTTTCTGAACGATATAAATACTCTCGTACCTTCCAACCCCAGAATCCGGTGTACTTAAAAAAGCCACGTGTGGGTAAAAACGTTGTCAAAAGGACACATTTACGCATTTGTGTTTATATTTCCACTTGACGAAATAAACGCACACCTAGGTAACCCCTTAAGAAGGCCGAACCTGTCTAGAGGATGAGCAATGGGATCGGGGAAACCCCCCCAGTACACTGGGAGGTAAAGGGTGCGAAAAGCAACGCAGTTCCCCCTTCCGCTTTTTGTTTCGTGTTTGGCTTAGGCATTGTCAAAAAGATTTTCCCGAACGTTTGAGAGCAGGAAGGGCTCAAGCCCCCGGGGTTTACTGAAGCAGGTTTGGGTGGGACACCCTTTACAGATTCCCCAGTAGACCACTCCTCCCAAAAAACACAAACAGTCCCGGGGGAAACCCCATCATGGAAAAAATCGCCAACAATCTCCCAATGCCTCAGGAAAAGGACAAAGCTCTTTCTCCTGGCAGTGAAGGCTCCACACTCAGGGATTTCCGTTTGCTGTTCCCAATTCCCCCTTTGGGGCATCGACTAGCCCCACGGGCCATTGGGTTTGGTGTTGCTCTTCGCCTAGCCGCCCCCATCCTCACCGAAATAGGTGTTTGGGCGGGGCAAAGCTGTCAATTCGGACTTCAGGGTCTCTGTGTCACACGCAAAGGAAGTATGCCGGGCATGAGGAGGTCAATGACACATAAAGAGAAGCCTTCCCACACCCCTTTCCCCAGCTCAACGGGCCCCCCAATGCAGAGGTTGACGGAAGTCTAAAGGTCCTGATGGAGCCACTATGCTCCTTGGAAGGATGGAAACAGTTGCCGATACACATGTGCCCCCCTTTGGGCAGACACCTACTTCCCATCTCCGTAGGGGAAAGGGGGGGGAGCTGCCAGCCACGGGAGCCCAAAAGATCCGCAAAATGAAGCCCTTCCCCCTTGCAAAACTTCATCCCAATAGGTCGGAGACCCTTGGGCTGGGCAATTTGGCCCCAAAGTTCCTAATAAGCGGGGTGAAAAAGCTCATCTAAAACAAAGGACCCAGGGCGACCCTACCCCTTTCAGAGACTCATGTTGCGACCGAGAGAAATGCCCGCACTTCTGGGGACGCGCCCCCGCCGGGGGCTGGACGAAGTATTCGAGATGTAGTAGAGTTACCTTGTTGTTTTACTTTGATCATATTTTTGTGAATGTTTTTTTTCAAAGTATTTTGTCTTTAAAAAAAATTTTAAATAAATTATATATATATTTATTAAAAAATAATTTTAAAATATATATAAAAATTTTTTAATTTTAAAAAAAAACAATAAGATACAGAAAAAAAGGTATTTCAAAATATGCAAAACAACCACTCGAAAAATAAGAAATTCCAAGCCTTTCGTGACTACTCAAATCAAGGGAACTATAAAGTGAAATACCAAAGGAAAACTATATAAGGGGGCGGCCCGCACCCCACTATCTCCCCCAACGGGTTAAACACGTAACCGCGGCGGCCAAATTGGACAGGCCTTTGCAAAACTCCCCCCCAAGTATTTATTTGTCCCTGTATTATTAAATTCTACCCAAATTTAAATTTTTAAAATAATCTAATTTTTATAAAAACCAAAAGGAAAAATTCATATTATTGTCAAAATGCTTTTTATGAAAAAAAAATTCAAAAATATTCCCCTTTGACCCGGACTTGCATGATTACTTTTTCAATTTTTGGGAAAAACAATTTGGGTGGTTAAAATCCTTACATGAATAAATAGAGCATTGGAATCTTTCCGTTTAATCTATTTTATGTTGTTTTTAAATTTTGTTTGGAATTTTTTCCGTTTGACCTAATAAAATTTATCGAAAAAATTCAAGGGAAAACTTTAGGGCACATCCATCAGATTTTGGGGGGGGTCTTAATAAAAATTTTTTTACTGTATCAAGATTTTTGAATAAACTTTAATATTAAAAGCTTAAAAAGAGAAGGCATTCAACCCGTTTTTTATGGTAAGGGAGAACCAATTTTTTAGTTGAATAAGGGGTGGTTGCCCTTTTTTTGGGTTTTTTAAAAAAGTTTCCCAGCATTAAAAGATTTATCATTTTCATTTTCTTGGGGGATTTTAAATATTACCCATTTCAAAAATTTTTGGATTTTCCCCTCTATGAAACGGGCTACAAATTCGTAAAGCTCTCAAAACTTGAGAAAACGGGAAATTTTTAATTTCTCTATTCTTTCAGGTTTGTTTTGCATATATATATAATATATATATATATATAAATATATATTATATTTATATATATAATATTATATATATAAATAAGGGGGGGGTAAGAAAATTTCCAAACATTCGGGGGAATCTTTAGTTTTCCCAGAAGTTTATTCTTTTCTTGGGATGAGGGTCCCTACAACATTCTATAGGTGGACCTCTATTTTATATAAAAATTTATAATTATAAATAAATAATAAATATAATTTTTATATATAATTATTTATATTAATATTTTCCCACCCTTCCCCCACTTTGAAAGAGGGCAGGTACAATAATTTAATTTCTTTTTTTAAAAATTCTTTTCTTGTGAGACAAGAATGACAAGTAAAAAATTAAAAAGGGCCTTTTTTAAAGTATTTTTTTATTTTACTATTTTTATTATTATTTTATTATTATTTTATTATTTTTATGGGGAAGCTAAACCCGAGGGTTTACAGCTTTTTTTGTCCCAGTGTTTTCTAGAAACAATCAATTAAAAGTCTTTTTTGTTTCTAAATTTTTATGATGCAAAAATAATACACAAAATTAAAAAAAATACCTTAAAGGGCCCCTTACCATTCCTACTTGGAAAGTTTTAAGTTAACCTCACTGGGGTTTTTTCAGACCGCCGTAAAAACAAATAATTTAAAACCGGATATAAAAAAACACATCTTTCCCTTCGGAAGTAAAAGGAATAGAGTAAAAAAAAACCAAGAAATGATGGGCCGAAGCCCGGACCTTCTTGTCCTTTAAGGAGGGATTGTTTAAAAAAAACCAAAAAGGGGGTTAATTTTTTCCGAGGAAAATTTTAAAAACCGGGGCCAAATGTTTCTTTGCAGGGGGCAAATTGAAATTAAGTGGCAAATTGGGTTTTGCAAATTTTTAAAAAAGCACACAGAAACGTTAGACCTTGGTTCCGGGGGCTTTTAACTAAATTTTCAATCCAAAAAAAAGGGGGGACAAGCGTTTTTTTTTTTAAAGAAAGGTTTTTTTTTACCGCCCAAAAGCTTTAAAAACCTCATGAAGGGAAAATTTTATTAAGCTGGAAAAAAAGCATTATAAAGGGGGGGAAAACCGATTATGACAACTTTTACAGGAATCCTTAGGCCGTTTTGTTTAAATATTATACCCCCCAAAAAGATTTTTGGGTTTTAGAAAAATTTGGGGTAAAAAAAAAATAGGGTTTTTAAAACGTTTTGGGGGTAGGGGGTTTGCAAAACCAAACTGGGGAAAAAAATGGGAGATGGCAATGGGGAAGTTCTGAATGGAGGTCCCCCCCTGCTCCAAAGAAAAAGTGTTCCATAAATTGGAAAAGGGTTGGGGTTGTAAACAATGGCGTTCCACCGGACGTTAGGGCCGTTTTGGGTTTTTAAATTAACAACTGTTAGGGTTTTTTCATTTATAAAATTGAAGGCCCAAGATAGGTAGGATATTTAAAAACAAAATTTTTTAGAAAACTTTACCCATAGACAAAATTAAAAATGTAGAAAATGGAAAAATTTAAAAATTAAAATTAAGTCAGTTAAGGGAAAAATGGGGAGACAACAATTATAAGTAAATTAATTAAAAAGGGGGCAAAAGGCTTAGGGGATTTAAAAGGAAAACCCCAGAAGGGGGAAAAGGGGAGTTGAAATGGAACAGTTCTGGGGGTTTTTGAGGGCAAACCTTGGGGGAGTTAAATTTAAATAAATACTGAGTAAAAGGGGGGGGTTATTTGAGTCCGTTGGGTATATTTCAGATATTTTTTGGGGGTTAAAAAAGGGGTTGGGAAAAAATTTAAATTTAAAAAATCCTAATTATTACATGCATTTTTTTCTTATGAGAAAGGGGGAAGCCCTAATTTTCTTTTATTGTGCGGAGTTACCAGTCAGGGATTGTGTTTTTTTTTAATAAGGGGATTAAAAGGTCTTAAAAGGGTTTTCTCCCAAAGGGACCCGGGCCCGTTTAAGGGGGAAAAAAAAATTAATTTAACAGTTCCCTAGTAAGTTAAAATTGGAGTAAAAAATTTGGGGTTCCAAAAATTTGTAGAAAAAAATTTTCAAAATGAAAAGTGATATTTCGGCCCAATGTAACTTGGAAGGTGACCAGGCGTAACAATATATGTATATGTATAAACAAAAGTGGAACAGGTTTTTTGTTGCTGAAGAAATAATATATTCATATTCAGCTTATACATGCAACACTAATGACAGGATTAAATTTTAAGGACAAGTTATTAAAAGTAAACAAGATACTATGAGTGTTTGGTAAATTATAAGTATTTGCAGGTCCACGCAGAGATGAATTACTCGTATGTAATAATAATAATAATAATAATAATAATAATAATAATAATAATAATAATAATAATAATAAAAATAATAAAAATTTCTACAAGTTCATATACATCATACACAGAAATGGCTTACAGCAATGACTTGCTATACAGAAAGCCCCTTGTTATACACACGAGTCTGAATTTGATAAAGAGGAAATGAAAACATAAGTTGCAGGAAGCTTACATCTCCAGAACTAAACAAGTCGTTGACTACTTTGACCAAGTGAAGAAGTCTGTCGTCACTCCTGCTGAATCTTTTGCCTCCCATCAGCGCCCACAGGATGTTGATAGCTGACACACCCACTACGTCCTAACAGTCACACGTAACAACATATTAGTATATATATTCACAAGCGAGTAAATGATATTTGCACATATGTGAAAGGACTATGTCACCCACAGAATACCACTCACATGGTACGTAGGTACCATGTCACCTATGGACTACCCTCGCACTGTGTGGGTGTAGGTATTGCGGAACCTATGGGCTACTACTCACCCCATGTGTCACCTATGGACAACCATACACGCTGTGTGTGAAACTACTTTGTCACCATTATGGGATTATGGGACCCAGCACATATTGATGTACATAAATAACAGTTATTCTGGAATACCTAATTATATTGAATTAATGGGGACACAGCACTAAATGGCCCTAAGGGAAGATCACTCGTAGAGACTGAGAGGCAGCTGGGTCAAGCCTGTTTTTTCTCAATATAATAGGTTATACAATAGACATATTTAAATAAGTGGTTTATAAAGTTATATTTCTTTTTGTAAACGTAAAGGTGTGGAAATGGGAAACATTATTGTGGTAACTAAAGAACTGTGCTTGGCAACAGTCTTTTGTTTGTTTGGTGGGTGTGAGAGGAGCTTACCTATCTCTCAGTCCCCTTAGTGGCTTCAAGCAGGTAGGACCTCTGGGTCCTTCTCTTTTATTTTTTGGCCATTAGGTGTGCCCCAGAGGTGAGTTTTATACCTTAAGTTGTAGCCATCATACCCAGGGTGACTAAGGTGTGTCAAAACACTGGTTAGTCAAGAAGAAAGAATGGCTAAATGTTCAGATGCACCATGTGGGCTGTCCTAGAAGAGCAGCTAGGGGGTGTGCAGGTTTATGTTTTGTATATGTAAGTGCTGTAATTGTATATTCTGTAAATATCTATCTATGTGATGAATGGTTTGAAAAACCGACAAGTTGAAGATTGAGACACTTATGCAACATATGGGAATCTTTATACAGGAAACGTTTCGCCACACAGTGGCTTCATCAGTCCAATACAAAGTAGAAAGGTGTAAGGAGAGGAGGAGTTTGAGGTAATCAGTCCCTCAAACTCCTCCTCTCCTTACACCTTTCTACTTTGTATTGGACTGATGAAGCCACTATGTGGCAAAACGTTTCCTGTATAAAGATTCCCATATGTTGCATAAGTGTCTCGATCTTCAAATATCTATCTAGAATGCATCCCTATTTTTTGGTAATAGAAGGAAGAGGGCTGAAGAAAGGATTTCAGAGACACTGAGGAGGATCAAACATGAAAGTATTACCCTAGACTGATAAGGCCTTTATATAAAAGCTACCCCACACTAGAACATGTAGTGAGAACCATACTATCAAAGTAATAAGGGACAACAACTTAACATGGGAGCTTGACCGGGAGAGTTGACGCTCAATAAAACTGAGGGGGGTGGGGGGGAAGGGGGGGGGGGGGGGGGAAAAAAAAACAAAACATCCTTTGAACCTATATGTTACTGGTATGGGTAATAACAGTTGCATGTTTTTGTAGGAGAAGATTTACCAAGGTGTGTCAGTGTAATGTCTGTTTTCACAAAATAGTTTACAGGTTGTTTTCTTCTAAGGTGGGAGAAAGGTTGGTAACTAACATTTTTTGTTGTGTATGGTAAGTTGCTATGTGCATAGTTCCATTCAACTTGTGTTATTTATTATGGTACCTGTGGAAAACTTGTCCCATTGATACTGTAAAGGAAAGCAGGTGTTTAAGGATAAAACTATGTCAGAAGTTGAGTCTTTAAATTTTTCAGACTTCGGTGAGGATAATAATTCATCAGTAAACAGTTCTGGTAACAGTAACCATGAGGGATCACCTACTCAGGTGATATGAAATGGAGAGGATGAGACTTAAATTATCTGGCTAGAGGCCTGAAATTAAATTAATGAAAGCTAGGAGGAAGAACGTCAGAGGTTAGGAGGTTCAGAACAAGAGCCTGAGCAGTACTTTAACATAACTTTATTTATTTATTTATTTATTTATTTAGAAATTTAGCATACATACAGAGGTACAAAAAAAATACAGGTTAAGAGCAGCCATGGACCAAAGCCACTTATATGCAATAGCACTTACGGCTGGCCTTACAATTAACTTAAGATTTAACTAAGCATCTAAAATCAGGAATAAGACATTATGGAAACAATAACTATAAAATACAAATGCTATTAACAAAGACAGGTCATAGTTGTATGCATGCTGTTCATTCAGTAAATGGAGTATTCTGTTCGGTAGTGATTTAAAAAAAATAACAAAGGTTAGGTTTAAACATTTGTGTGATCTAAATTGTGAGTAACATTTAAGGATAAACAATTTATATGGTTCATTATTCAGTATTTATTTGGTTTTGAGTGAGAAGTGAACTATTGAGAAGAACTTTAATTTATAAACAGGTAGTGTTTCTTTTATATTACAGGTAATGAATTTCCGATTTTAGGCCTTTTATGTGCATTGAGCTTTTTTGCATAGCGTGAATGACACGAGATAAACATCAAAGAGTATTCTGTGCCTTGTGTTCTGGTCATGTGTTCTGTTGAGGTTGGCAAGAGATGTTTGAGGGGAGGGTTTAATATCAAGTTAAGTGTTCTATGTATGTAATAAGTGCAATAAACGTATGGATGTTTTGTATGTGAGTTAGGTTGAGTGTTTTGAATATTGTGGAGTGTGCTGCCTGTATTGAGAATTTGTTTATCATTCTAACTGCAGCGTTTTGTTGGGTAATTAGTGGTCTGAGATGGTTTCTTTGTTGTTGAGCCCCATGCAGCCAAATTCCATAGTAAGATAGGGGTAAATAAAGAGTGAAAGAGGGCCAGATGGCTGACTGTGGAACATATACCGTATCTCGCTATTATGCCTACAGTCTGGAAATTTCATTAGAAATTTGTTGAATATGTGTATGAAAATGTGAGTCTACTATCGAGGTGATTCCTAAGCATGTTTCCCTCGTTTAGCTTTGTGGATAGTTTGTGATCCGTTTATCGTTATGTTAAGAGGTACATCTGTAGCTCTGCACCAAACTGAAAGAGAGTAGGTTTTGCCAAATTTATGGTAAGTTTGTTAGTCCTCATCCAGTAGATTATTATCTGTAATTCGGTGTTTACAGTATTGGCCTACGTGACTGGCTCGGTGAGAGAAACGTATGTGGTGTCATCTGCAAAAAGAGTGGGTTTGAGTACTTGCGAAGCATTTGATAGGTCCTATATGTATAGGAGAAAGAGAAGAGGGCCATGACACCTTCCGCGGTGGGTACTCCAACTGTCATTGGTTGTGGCGGAAGAGCTTGCCATTTGCGTTACACAATATTGGCTCTGTTGCTGAGGTAAGACTTGAGGTATTGTGGGAGAGCCCTCTATACCATAGTGTGACAATTATACGTGGAGCAAGTCATTGTCAACTGTATCACAAGCTTTACGTAAGTCAATGAAGTTCCCCCGAGGGACGTCATTTTTCTCTATTCAGTTATAAAGGTTCTAGCATGTGTATAATATCATCATTAGTATTTTTATTAGCCTGAATCCAAATTGGCAGGGGTTGAGATGTTTTGGGAGATGAGGTAGGAGTAGATTCGTTTATAATGAATAAGTTTTCGAAGAGTTTTTGAGGAAGAGGGTTGTAAAATGGATATTGGCCTATAGTTATTCAACTCTGTTTGTCCTCCTCCTTTATTGGATCCGAGGTGACCCATGCTATTTTGAGAACAGTAGGGAAAGGGTGGAGGATTCAATGGATTGTTAAGAGAGTGTGCCAATGATTGCTGATAGTAAAATTTTTTTCTTGTGACCTTTTGTATACAATGTGTACGAGTATTTAAATCTCCTGCCTAGTTTTTTTTCAGTGCGTTGATAATAAGGAGACTTCGTAGGGTTAGTCGGACTAGGAACAGTGTTTCGGTAAGTTTGCCAGTGAGGTAGTCATTTGGGTGGGTATCTGACTTGGGATATTATTGGCAAGGTTTTGAACTATAGTGGAGAAGAATCATTGAGTCCTGTTTTGCTTGTTTTCTGTTGGTGGGAGTTGGGGTTCATCGATTTTGCTAATTTTATTTCGCTATGGTCGTGATATCTTTTTGTTTCCCAAAAAAAGAATTTCTGATAGGGACTTCCAGGTCTTTTTTAATCACCTCGGAAGCTGGAAAATCTGTTCTCATAATACAATTTTTTTGCCCATTCTTATCAGGCAGTTTAGGATTGACGAGTAACGTGTTGTTTGGTCTCTGGTTATGTGACCCATTCTGTACGTTTTTCATATCCGGTTTTTTGTATTTATGATTTGGAGATGCTGGTGTTAGCCAGGGACGTTCAGTCTCTTAGCTGTCATCTTTTAAGTTTTTTTTTAGGGCCGTGCTTGTATAAAGGTATTGGGGTCTTTTTAGAAAATTATTAAAACATTCGTCAATATCTGAAATAGATTTCTAGCTCATGTGTGCCGAAGTCAATGAGTTTTGTTACTGCTGTTTGTGAAGTATTAATGGTGCCTCATATGTGGTAGTGTCTTGGGTATTTTACCAAGAGTTGTATGAGTCGAAAGTCGGTAGTTGGGTCTGTGGTATTATCTGTAATTATGCCTGATTTAAAGGGGATTGTGTTGGTCCAGATGCAGTCAATAGGGACACAACTATCCTCTCTGTAACATTCTTGGAGAGGTTGTTGTTCTGGTTGGTAGCAACAAGCCAGTATTATCTCATTAGTGTTTTTAGTGAATTCATAACGTGTGGGTCCTGTGACTTGCAGTGAGATTAAATATTGAAGTCACCGAGAGTAGTAAGTGATCTTTGTTCAAGCGTGCATCAGTTATCATACTTCCTAGGATTTTACTAAATTGGCTAATGTTTGATTGTGGAATACCTGTAGATGTTTTATCACTGTGTGAGAGGTTTTGTAGGTATTTGGTTTGACTTTAGCTATTCTATATTATCCCCATGTCATCCATGTGGCAAGTAATAGTGATACATCTAGTTTGGTCTGCGTAGTAAAACGCTGGGCCACCCCCATGTGGTCTGGCCGAGCGCAGTTTGTAGTATGGC